TCTCTCTCTCTCTCTCTCTCTCTCTCTCTCTCTCTCTCTCTCTCTCTCTCTCTCTCTCTCTCTCTCTCTCTCTCTCTCTCTCTGCCCTTTTTTTCCTTCTACGCAATGCTGAGGACTTGAACCCATCACCTCCACTAAGTAAAAAATCCTGTGTAGGCTCTGAAATTCGAATTCCCAACCTACAGGGGTGTGCTGAACCTCGTTTTTTTTTCTCTTTTTTTTTTTTCAATTCAATCATCGTTCAGGGCAAGGTCTTCTAACCCTTAGGGTGGTAAGAGCCCCAGAGGGTAGAGGCCCGCGAGGTTCCGATGGCGCCTTTCTATTGGTGGGGAGCTGCACCTGCTGGAAACCGGGTCCAGTGTCCAAGGATAAATCTTGAGGAAACTCCTCACAGTTCAGACCCTTTCTGGGGCTAACAGCAAAAATGGGACCTCTTCTCCATAAGGCGCCTGAGATGAGTTAGCCACTAGTCCCACTACCCACTGTACCCAAACTTGTAAAAGTTAATGATGCTCAATAGACACTCCTCCGGCGCGTCCCCGAGGAATTGTTCGTTCCACCTATCCTCGGGGATGCAGTCAAAAAAAAAGAAAGTGAAAACACTCCGAAGGAAATTCCTTGGGCTCCGAGGGTTCCCCAGCCATTTCTTCCTTTTGCCCATGGGCAAAAGGAATCCGCGTTTCACGGAGAGGAGCGGGCACATGGGTAGAGAGACATTACAACCGAGAATCTGGATCATGGCGGCACCCTATTGGCTGAAGGCCTCAAGCACATTTGATTTTTTCTTTTTTTCTTTTTTTCTTTTTTTCTTTTTTTCTTTTTTTCTTTTTTTCTTTTTTTCTTTTTTTCTTTTCTGACATAGCTCGAAGGAAATGTCCTCGGCCGACGTCCCCGAGGACAGGTGGAACGAAGGGCCCAAATTTCCTTTTGAACCGAAAGGAATTTTCCCTTTTGCCCGAGGATTTCAACAGGAGTGTCTAACGAGCCACAATATCCAATTCTGAGGAACAGTAACTGCTGCAATTACCTCAGTAACTGAAGACTAGCTAGTAGCCATTGGATAATGAACAACCTAACCTGAGCAAGCCTATCCTTTTGGCAACTGCCTTTCATTCTATGAATAACACTGTCATGCAGGTCAGGGACCTCTCAGCCAAGGTTCAATAATCTCTGTGTTCAGTGATGTTCAATGATTCTATGATTTCTCTCTCTCTCTCTCTCTCTCTCTCTCTCTCTCTCTCTCTCTCTCTCTCTCTCTCTCTCTCTCACCCACCCACACACACACACACACACACACACACACACACACACACACACATGCACACGTTTTCTCTCAGCACCAAGGAATTCTCCAATCCCATCTCCTCCCCCGCCGGCTACGAGCTTTTTCCACACTCTTCTCTTTGCCCTCGTGCTCACTACATTTCATGTAGCCAGAATCTTTGAAACCCCTTTCCCTGTCTTCACTTTCCTTCTTCTTATCCCAATGGACTGTACCGCCCAGATCTGTGTTATGGTCTTCCCTTTCTTTATCCCCAGTGTTCTGATTCCAGTGACTCATATCACCATTATCCCCATCCTCATCATCATCATCATCATCATCATCATCATCATCACGATCACCATTTTGAGGTGATTCCAACGCTGTCAAAGATTCATTATCACCCTCATTATCGCCATGATCCCCAATCTTCAGAGTCCAACTATTCATACCACCAATATCCCCATCATCCTCCTCCTCATCATCATCATCATAGTTGCGATTGCCATTTTGAGGTGATTCCAACGATGCCAACGATTCATTATCGCCATCATTATCGCCATACCCAGTCTTCAGATTCCAACGATTCATATCACCATTATCGTCATCCTCATCCTCATCATTGAAATCATCATTAACATCATCATCGTCATTATCACCCCCTGAGCTGTGAATGCCATTCCGTCTAATCCTCAGATCAACATCATTCACTCTCAATACCTCACCAACACCATTTTGAGGCCGATGGCACTGCCCTATCACACAGACCCCATCTTAGTTCACACCCACAGTTCAAGCACTGCACGTTTAACTCCATAGGAAGCACACGGCTGTTTCGTTAAAGTAACCTTAATCTGCCAGAGCTTCCTCGTTGTCACTGGCTCTCACATTCCTTCTTGCAGCTCACGTTCGAGTTAAGATTTTGCCGTTCAAGATCTTGTCCAGGGGGCTTCCGGAATGCTCCGGGCTCGTACACCCCCTCAGGCCCTCGTCGTTGTCATGAAGGCTTGAACTGTTGACATTCGGAAAAGACTTGGGCTTCAGCTTCAACCGCCGTTCCTTGAAGTTCACCTCCCGTGCAGTCAGCCACGAGGGGAAGGTCCATATGCAGATTTTTCCTATTCAGGTGTCCTCTTGCAGCCATCGTCTACCACAGTCTGTATTACACAGCTGCTCCCATGTGTCCTTAATCCCAGCTCAGAAACAGACACGCCCTTCCAGGAAAAGACAAAAGAATCTTCTTCCTTGACAGTCACACGGCCGTTGATCCTTCTCGCCCTACAGTTGGATAACAAATACTCCATTGCTCGTTTCCAGAGGAGTGCAGTCTCCGATCCTACTCTTGCAGCCACCGTCTACCACAGTCTGTATCACACAGCTGCTCCCATGTGTCCTTAATCCCAGCTCAGAAACAGACACACCATTTCCCACCTTTTTTATCTTTTTTTTTCTTCTTCTTCTTTTTTCCCTTCTTTTTTTTTTTTTTTTTTTTTTTTTTTTTAAATTAACCACTCCGAAACACTGAAAATGCTTCCGCGGATCATCCCCATCTCAATGGCCGGATAGTGCTACAATCTCTACGTCTCTCACAAAACAGAAACCCATCACCATTCGGTGAACCGTGTAACCTCTACTATAAATCCACGGAAACACTAAGTCACTTCCCGAAACCCTAGGTCGGCTTCCGTGGATCTTCCAGTCTCAACGGCGGGACAGTGCTACAAGCTCTATATCCTTCACAAAACAGAAACTCATCGCCATTCAGTGAAACTTGTAGCCTCTACTGTACAGTCCGTGGATCTTCCCGTCCCAACAGCCGGATAGTGCTACAAGCTCTACCTCCCTCACAAAACAGAAACCCATCTCCATTCAGTGAATCGTGTAACCTCTACTGTACAGCTTTCCGTGTTCCATGGGAAGGGCGCCTGATTACAGCGCTCTTCAGTTCCAAATGCTCTGATTATTCGATGTTTTCGACCGGCTCCGAACTGTCTCCTCCAACCCTGAAAACCTACCACCATCCATACCACAAGCTAGGACAAATCAGCCACTGTTGCTTCGTCCTCATGCAGGACTGACTGCTGCGTGGCACACTGCCCCCGTGCTGCGCGCGCCGGGGGGCGCTTGATTCCACACTATGAGAAGAAACCCTAAACTCTAGCGCTAGCGCGTCGCGAGACTTGAGCGCTACGGCGCCGCCTCTCGTTTCGTCCCCACCGATTTGCTAGAACCTCGTTTTTCAGGATTTAGCCGGACTCGTTCTTGGGATTGGCCTTTTATGAACTTTACCTCGCAGCAGGATCCTTCCTTGGCCTCGATTCGACGATCTGGATTACACTGTACTCTGTAATTTAATGTATTTGTATCCTAGTGAATTTTATTAATTTCTCAAGGAAACCTGAAGTGTACCATTAAACCATGGCTACGATCCGGACGTGTGGAGCACCATCCAGACGGTCTGGATTCAGCCCCGACTCCATACGTCCGGTCCGGAAGCTCCGGATCTGCCAAATTCCAAGGGGGGGGGGAGAACACGGTCCAGGATCTTTCCCCAGGAGCCAAGCCCCCAAAATTGTTTTGGGGATTTTTCAGGCCCGTTTTTGTTTTTGGGGGGTTCCGGGATGGTCTATCTCTATAATCATTTATTAACAGACCCCTTTTTTTAAATATAATTCATTACTTTTTTTAAGTTTTTTAATAGTTTTTGACTTTCAACTCAAGTTTGGTTAGGAATTCTGGCATGACTCTGAGGCAAAAGTGGTTTGCATTCTTCTTCTGCATAACATACTTTTATGTTCATGGAAAATTTTGCAACCTTATCGAGGTTGTTCATATTTGTTTGTTATTATGGTTCTTTTAATGGTCCGGGCATTTCCAGACCTGCTTACCGGTTCGGATCATTCGGAACCATACATGTCCGGAGGCCTGGATATGCCAGGAAGTCCAAACGTCTGGACCCGACCAGACATGAGCTGTTCGAGTTCGGGCCCGGCGTAGCCATGCATTAAATGTTTCTGGGACTAAAGAATGGGTGCACGGAACTCCTACAAGTTTTTTTTGAGAATCTATCCGTGGACTTCTTGAGCATAGGCATACGGCTCAAACTGGGTCAGTTCAAAAGAATAGCTGATGTGGCAATCTCCTCCAGGTTTGACTGTGCTCGCGGCTTGCGCCATCTCCTGAGCTCCGACATTACTCGCTCTCTGCGTCACGATGGTGCCTGAGACTCACCGATACTAAGGGTTACTCTCTTGCTTGCGCAGCCGGCGTAGTACACCACCAAGGAACTTCAAGATGGATCTTACTCTCCTTCCTGACTCGCTTCGTTCTGACCCCCTAACCCCTCCTGGACTTTGCACTCGCCTTCCCTCCTTGGCATTCTCTCTACCACCTGAGCAAAGCCCAAGTGAAGCCTGAGTCCTAGGTTTGTCCCATTGACAAACCTGGCAGGTTTCAACGTATCTTTTAGCATCTTGCATCATAGAGGGCCACCAGAATCTTTGCACTAGGTTAGCTGATGTTTTCCTATAGCCGAAATGACCAGTTGCATCATGACATTCTCCTAAAATCAAACTACGCAAAGACTCCCTATCAGGTACACACAATCTTTTATTCTCGGCCTTTTCAAGAAACAACAAGCCATTGACCACTGTAAACTCGTCAGAAGTTACTTTATCTTTCATTTCTGACTTACAGATGATCTCCAAGTATCGAGTTATATCGTCTGATATACCAAGCTCAGTTATTAGCACGCCCAGACAATCCGCTCTTCGAGATAGTGCATCGGCTACCTTGTTATACTCTCCCTTTATTGGGTCAAGTTGATAGTCATACATGTCTATCACTTGGATCCACCTTTTGAGTGCATCAGAGAGTACAAGTTGAGTCTTCATCCAACACAAATGCTCATGGTCAGATCTCAAGTAGAAGAATATGCCTAGGAGATAGTGTCTCCAGTGGACCAGCGCTTTATAAACGGCATAGAGCTCACGCTGATACGTGGACTTCGCTAACTTTTGAGATGGCATCTTCTTGCTCATATACTTGATGGGCCTCAACTTTTTCCCCTCCTTTTGCACAAGGACCGCGCCTATGCCATATTGGTTGACGCCAGTGGTCACTGCAAAGGGTTGATCAGGATCTGGAAGTTTGAGGACTTCATAGTGTGTCAGTGCATACTTCAATTTCTTGAAGCTTGCTTCACACTCTTCGGTCCACTCCCAAGGGGTGTCAAGGCGGGTTAGGTCGGTTAATGGGGAGGCTATAGTATAGTTTTCGACAAACGGACGATAGTAGCCCGTCATCCCCCAAAACGACCGGACCTCAGTTACAGTCTGAGGTCCGGGCCAGTCACGTATGCTCGGCACAAGATCTTGGTGCAATCGAACTCGCATTTCTCCAAGGTGACCTTGTACTGGTGCTGTCTTAGGAGACCTAGAACTATTTTAAAGTGCTCAGCGTGCTCCTCTACAGTCTTACTAAAGGTAAGGATATCGCCGAGGTACACGACGATAAACTTGTCTAAGTCATCATGAAAGATCCTATTCACTGCGTGCTAGAATGTCCCAGGTGCATTGCATAGGCCAAAGGGCATCACGACAAACTCGTACAGACTGTACCTGGTTTGGAAAGCGGTTTTGTGCTGGTCCTCAGGTCTAATGGCAATTTGATGGTATCCAGACTTCAGATCTATCTTGGTGAAGCACTGACATCCCTGCACTCTATCCAATAGGTCGTCGATGCAGGGTAGGGGCTCCGCGTTCTTAACGGTGATGGCATTGAGGCCCCTATAGTCAATGCACATCCTTCGTTTACCTCCCTTCTCAGGAACGAATAGAACTGGTGCACCATAAGGAGAGGTACTAGGCCGAATCCATCCCTTCTTTGTGAGCTCTTTGAGCTGGCGGCGGAGCTCATCCAACTCCGCAGGAGACATCCTATAAATTTGTCCTTTAGGTACTTTGCTACCAGGGACGACTTCTATTGCATGGACAACCTCCCTTTCCACCACACCATTGGGCCCCTCAAAAAGGTCTGAATACTGAGCAACGACTGCTTCTATCTCAGGGGGTGATTTTACGGCCTCCCCTTTCTTAGAGACAAAGACTAGGTACATGCCCTCCTCACGATTTTGCTTATAGTAGTTACAGAAAGAGGATGCACACATGCTGTCATAGTTCTCCACTAGACTGCTAGCTTTGAACTTTTGCAGCCTAATGGTTCTTCCATTGGGCAACTTGTGGATCATCACCTTCCTATCCCAATCGAATTGAGGTTGAGCAACCTCGAGGTAGTACATGTCGAGTAGCATATTGAATGGCAGTTCGTAACTAACTAGGAACGAGATCTTGTGTCTCAGTTCCCCTCGTCCATAGGAGAAGGTGCAGAATACGTCCTTGACATAGTCTTGGACTACCATGCTGTGCTTGTTGGCTAGCGTAGATGCTACAGATCTGCTCAACCGCTGCACTTGGTCCCCTAAGCGCAATCTGTCCACACAAGCAAGACTGATGAAATTCCGTGTAGAGCCTATGTCTGCGAAGGCGCCCACTTTGCGGCCACCTATATCAACCTCGACCACGAAATGGTCACCTCTAGGACCTTTGCTAATCATCGCCCAAGAGTCTCTAGGGTCCTTCCTTGACCACTCAGACTGTAACTCTATAGGCACTCAGACACATCTCTCGAACAGAGCATCGGTGGGTCTGAATGTGTCTCGCCCAACTCCTGAAGTGGTGAAGGCAACGTTACCACTTCAACACGAGTAAGAGTGGCTAAAACTCCTACTGGCTTGAGGTGTTTCCCTGCGAATGCTCGCAGAAGCACCACCAAGGTTCGAAGATAAGCCCACCACTGTTGGAGAGGCTACCTTCGTGGTGACCTTCTTGCCTCGGCATGTCCTGGACGTGTGGCCATAGTTGCCACAAGTACCCCTAGCAACTCGGTCCCTCCACACCTTATAGTCTAAACCAAGTTTTACCCATGCGGGTGTTCCTTGGTCGCCCTGACCCTTGGGCCGGCCTACCTTCTGCTTCCCGGGCCCCCCTAGTCTTTTCCTTGATGGGTATAACGACTCCCCCGTCCGAAGTCTCACTAGCCCCATTATGCTCTACGTCTTCCCCATAGTCAGGGAAGTCGTCAATCACAGTCGTCTGACCATCATGGTCGACGAAAATGAGATTGCCCTTCTTCCTCTAGTCTTGGGGAAGTCTCTTCTTCCTACCATCTATTTGACCCTGATGAGCGGTCCCAAGTTTAGCCTTTATGTCCAAGGCTTTCTTGCTGAAACTAGTGGAGTTATGGACGTCAATGTTGGCCTCGTCCACCAGCTTGTTCTTGACATCCGTAGGCAGACATCTCAGATAAGTTGTGAGGAGTACCTGTGGGTCATAGCGTACACTAGGCACTATGATCAGACATTCTACGGCGTCTTTGACTTCCCGCATAGTCTGCTACTATTTGGAACCGAGACCGTTGATTGCGCCAGTGGCCTTCTAAGCCCCTTGAGGGTCATGCCACCTGTTGTACACAGTCTGTACGAAGTCCTCCAATGTCCGGGCCTAGGCCCAGGCATCAAAGTTATGACCATAGCCCTGTTGTTGCACTAGACCATTTAACCATCGCGTTGCAGAGCCCTCTAAAAAGGAAGCAGTGACTATAACTTCCTGCTCTGGCCTCGTGAGCTTGTGCCTCACATAGGTAGGCACAGTCCTCACCCAAGTGTCTATGTCCTCATCCTTTTCCCTGTCGCCAGAAAAAGGTTTAGGACTCAGCAAGGGAATCTTGGGCCTCCACTGCATAGGCTGGATTGGCTCAGGAGATTGCTGCAGTGGATGCATAGCCACTAAGACGGGTTGTCGCACGTTAACCTTCACCTGCCTTGACGTTGAGACTGTAGCTGCCATAGTCCTCAATCGTACGGGAGAAATACTACGGACCGGACCACTAACTGCTACTAAACCACCTGAAGGAGGCATGCCAAACATAGGAGAGAAGGAGGGCCCTACCGGCGACGACGTCACTATGGGACCCGCAACCGAAAGGGGAGCTACAAAGTACTGAGGCTGCCTCATAATTGGACGAGGAGCCTGCAGTGCAGCCAGAATCCGGTCCTGACTGGCCACTAGTTGAGCCAGCAGTTCCTGCTGGACAACCTGCGTTTCTGCCACGCATAGCAGCGAGCGATGCAACGCTTGCATTGCAGGGTCCAATGTTGACTCATCTAGTGCTTCTAACTTTCCTAGCTCCTGCCTCCTAGTTCCTAATCTAGCTTTTCTCATTATCGCTCTCTGTCTTCTCTCTGCTGCATCTCTCAAATGCTGTTGCAGCTCATTATGAAGAACTTATGCCTGGAGAATCTCATAATCCTCCGGTGTGAGAAGAGTCCGTGGGCTGACTGGCGACCCAACAGTTTGACTAACGGGACCTTGCGTTGCCCCCTGACTAACTCCTGACGAAGAGGCCTGGGACAAGGTCTGTGACATGGTAGAGGCGGTAGCCATTGTGGCCTCGACGTTGGCTGCTGCTTCCCTAGACCTCAATGCCACCCTCCCCATGGCTTCCCTCTGCAGCCTCCTTTCCTCTCCTGGACCTAACTCCTGAACCTAACTCCTGGAAAGTGATCGGTCGACGGAGAGCGGTTCTACGGGTAACTCTAAGGTCTTCCACTAATCTTTCCTCCTCGTCACTACTAACTGCTTCACTCATGAGCTACAGTGGTGTGTGGTCTAAACTAGAATCCACACTGAATCCTACCACAACATAACACCCAACCGAGTATTACATTCTACCAGTTTCAGTCAGCCTGGAGAGAAGTAGTCAAGTGGTAAACAACAACCAGTGTCAGATCCTACAGGTCACACTATTTCTATTCTTAGATTACTCTAACACATAATGCAATGCAGCAAAGAATGATCTATCCTATTTGCAATTGTCCGTTAGTTGTCACCAAGTCCGTACAACTAAATAATCAAAAATAAAAATAGTTCACCTGTGGAGATGTATGTTGGACAGTTTATCTAAGTATTACAGCGAACAGTTGTCAGAATCCCCCCTCTCCCTGTATCCCTCTGGAATAGTATCTTTGTGTCAACGCCCTGAGCATCTGGTTGAGCAGCGTGTCTGAAGGTGTGCAATCCTTCCCACCCCTGTGCCCCAAGTCTATGCTAAGCCTACCAGCCCCTGCACCTTGTTTACCCTCGCATGCAACGAGCCTTACTTCTGGTTTGATCTGGCTGATCAAGAGGCATTTTAAGGACAGCCCCCAAGGTCCTCATGAATTATTTAACGTCGCAGACAGGGCGACAATCACACAGCCAGGGTTCAAATCCGGAACCCACCAGAAATGTTTGTAGACAGTCTGGTAAGTGTCTATCAAAGTGCTGGCATGCCCAGCATAACCTCTATTGCGCAGCAGCAGAACCAAGGACTTGCGGCAAAACATGCGTGTACTAGTCCCAGCGGGTTGGCATGGTGACCGTGACCCGAGTGCTTCGTCCAGGGCTCTTCAGAGGCTTCGCCCTTCTCCCACCAGCTTGCTGCCCAGGAAGATTGTCGACTCTCAAGGATGAGCACCCGTGACACCTCACAATGAGAGGACTCTCAAGACAGAACTCACTTCCTCATGGTAAGAAGTAATGAAGAGGGTAGATAAGGAAGAGAGCAACATACCTCATAATGCTGCCCCCAGCCACAGATTTCTCACCGGCAACCTGACGTGCATTTATGATGACCGTTCCTTGCCTTGGCACAACAAACAGCGGAATGCAGTTCCACCTCGGCTTAAATGCCACATCAGCGAGCTCTCATCATCCAGCATACACCCCTATGTCACCACATAGCCTTCCCGGCACGCCCACGCGACCCTGGGCCGCCTATCATACAACGCCCAAGCCTTATCACTGCCCCACACCTCATGCGAAGCACCGAACAGCTATTGCGAAGAACCAGTAAAGCGCAGTTCGAACCAGCTCCGATACCAAATTGCAAGGAAATTGAGCAATCGTGAGATGACAAAATCCAGATTGCACAATCACATTGAAAGCCAGAAAGTATCACAGTGTCCAGAAAGCAGCATTGCACCAATATAACACCAATGGAGAATCGTAACACTGCAACAGCCCGTGAGACTCAACTCCAGCAGCGCTGCCGTTAGCCTGCAAGTGCCCGAATGAGCTGCCTGGGTCCGAGCTCTGTCCTATATGCAAGAGTTCTGGCCAGGCCTGCACCCAGAAGCTTCCGGTAGGCCCCAAGTGGTTAAGCCTCTGCTGCAGCTGCTGGGCCTTGTTCGGTTCAGCCTCCAAACTCTGTGTATGATGCTGCGATTCTTGCCCAGGGCCTGCATTTCCAAAAAGGCTCAGGAGGCCGTGGAAAATATTTGCAGCTCGGGTCCTGGGTTCCCTCAACCAACTGACGCAACACAACTCCCTGAACCCCAAAATACGAAATTGACAGCATTGGGCCTCTTGCGATCTGTTAGGCCCGCCTTCACTTAGGGCGGGCACATCTGTATCAGGGCCCCGTAGGCCTGCCGAGGAACCAAATCCTCGCAGTTGTAGATCTTTTTGAGATCTACCACCACCTAGGCTACCAGAGTGGCCCCGGATACACTTGCCCGGCCGGCCCAAAAAAAAAAGAAAAAAAGAAAAAAGAAAAGAAATTATTTTAAATTTGGTAAAAGAATTTTGATGTGAGAGATCAGAAATGAAGTCCTTCGGGCAGAATGAAATATTTTGCAGACGTCAAAGGCGGAAGGGTTGGCTGCTGGAGAAAGAGGGGGAGCAAGAGAGGAGCAGTAAGAGAACCATCAGACTGTGGCAGGGAAGGGCTAAGGTGGCTAAGCGTTAAGTGACTACTCCCAAGGGAAGGCTGCCAAAACCCCGAGACAGGGACCCCGACACAGCGGATACTGCCAAAAGGGCGGCATCTGAATCAAACGAGATCAGAGGTTCCCGGCAGAAGCAAAGACCTTATAACAAAGGGGGGGAGAGGAGAAGCAGCCGAAGTACAATGGAAAGACGGCTACGTAACACTTCAAGGTCAATAGGCAAGATCCCAGCAATGAAGTTGTACTACCCAGCGCAGCCGGGAACACGAAGAGTTGCGCGATCTCGGATAAGGGTGTCTGGATGAGGATCCAGGTTTTAAGGTTCTTAGTGATCCTTTTTATTAAAAAAAGGGGGAAAGGTAAGATGGTACAGAGGGTATCGTGGACCACGGACAGGACAATTAAGTGGGAGTACAAAGGCTAGCGTGAACAGTGGGGGAACTCTTTCTAGGTGACAGTGATCTATCTGACAGATCTGGTTGGCTGATCTGAGAGGAAAGAGTGAGGCACGGCAAGCTGACAGTCAATCCTCCATCAAGATGGAGCAATCAATGCTGATCAGGGGTCCTTCGGCCAGACGGAAGGAAGTGTGGGTGGTTTATGTTTATTGTAATGTCCATTTTGACTTGCCGGTGGAATAGGAACCGGACTGTCGCTCCCCAGAATGGAAAGGAGCCAGAACCATAAGGCCCTGTTTGAAAAAAATTAAAAAAAAATAAATAAAAAAAAAATCGATGTGACCCTGAGGCAAAAGTTGTTCAGTTTATCTTTCTGCATAACATAGGTCTTTTTTCGGATTTTTTGGTTTTTTTTTTTTTTTTGGCTGGGACCTTCCCTAGTGCTTGCACGGCGGGCCGCCCAGGAAATTAGGGTGACCCGGGCGGCCCGGCTGGTAGTTTTTTCGAATTTTTAAAACTT